TGGCGGCTCCCCGCTTATGCAAATGAAGCCCGGGAAATTCAAATCCCGGGCTTCATTTGCACTGAGGGTATGTCTACACTACCCTCCTAGTTCGAACTAGGAGGGTAGTGTAGACATACCCTATGAAATTTTAGTTTGCACTGACTTTGCTACTGCTTTTATGTAGCCTTTGTAAAACTAGGCAAATATCTAGATGAGTTGATGTACCCCAAAGAAGACCTCTGTGTACCCGCAGGGGTACATGTTGAGAACCACTGATAACTGAGGGTATGTCTACACTACCCTCCTAGTTCGAACTAGGAGGGTAGTGTAGACATACCCTATGAAATTTTAGTTTGCACTGACTTTGCTACTGCTTTTATGTAGCCTTTGTAAAACTAGGCAAATATCTAGATGAGTTGATGTACCCCAAAGAAGACCTCTGTGTACCCGCAGGGGTACATGTTGAGAACCACTGATACAGGGGACTGAAAAGTATTGGAGATCAAAAGTACCTAGATGACTAATGGCTGGTAAAATGTGGTCATTCTTTTCCTGTCCCCAAGGATTCGGAAAAGAAAAGTCTCCTTTTGTTAACTGTGATATACCTGCTAGTATAATGAGAAAGACAACAAATAGAATATTTGTGCTAGCTAAGTTGGTTTGTGGTTTTCCTTATTTTGAAAACAGTAGTAGGAGGTACTACTGAGCAGTATTTGGAAGGGCTCTTTAATAGACATGTGGGTTGCCAATTAACAGCTTTTTTACAACCTACCCTAGGATCCAGGCCTATTTGCATAGTAGTGGTATGCAGCTATTTCACAAGGTAACAGATGCAACTAGCATTTTTGTATTCACTTAGGAGCTTTCATTCAAGAGGGATCAGGACTCCTTGGTCTGGCCACAGTTTCTCAGATCAAGGGAAAAAACCAAACAGATACAAATGTTCTTGCCCAAGATATCACAAAGACATCTTGCACACCCGTAATTACGGATTTTTCTAAAATATAGGACAAAGGGTATTTTGCTCTCCCTCCCTCCATTTTTTGGATAAATAAAAGCTCTCTCTGTGGATCAATCTTGTACCACTAAAGTCAATGGGAGCAGAAGGTGGCTGCTGTGAAAATATTGTGTATAAAATCCTATTTAATACATAAACTATATATAAAGTAACTAGATTGTAAATTATGGTGTGGGTTTTTTTTTTTTTTTGGCACGAGATGGAGGCAAGACGCTGCAAAGAGCACACAAGATTCCCTAGTGCCTTTCCCTTTAAGTCCCTAAGAAATAGCCAACTAATCTGAACCTTAGAAGTGCAGCAAATTCTAAATTCTCCTTATCCTTGTTTCCCATCCCCTAGAGCATTTGTCAGATCATTTTGAATGTGTTTGCTCTGTTAAGTAGTATTTGCTGTCTCCAATCCTAGGAGTCTTCAGCACTTAAGACCCTATGAAAACAGGAAAAATCACAGACCTGTTTCTTTGACAGCTTAATTGAAGCACCAGATGAAAATAACAGAGTGAACAGTCAATTATAACAGGAAGCCCTGGAAAATGTCTGTGTAGGGGAGGGGACAGGGAGAATTATTCACAACTTCCCCATAAACATACCTGATCGTAAGCTGGTTTGTGGTTGGTGCTTTGCTTCTCACAGTGGCTGTTGATGTTTCTCTCCGTTTCATTTCTCTCTGAGGAAATGGGTTTTACATCTACACAGCACTCAGGGTATTGCGAGTAAAAGGTTTCATATCCACCTAGGGAAAAAAAACAAAAAAAAACAGAAATATTAACTTTCAGGTTTCTGAAAATTCAGTTACATTAAGGTGGATCAGAAGTTAAGCTTTAGGGGCTTCCAAATAAATCAGAACACAGCAAAGTGACCAGTCCTCAAGAGGTGTTCAATAACAAAAAGTTCCATTCTGTCAAAGTGTTTGTTTAAAAAGGCTTTGTGCTCTCAAAGAAAAACTGCATCATAGCTAACAATTATTAACTTGCTAAAAAGCCGATTGGTACAGATTAAAATGGTTTGAGAATGTAGATCTGGCAAACATTAACTTCAGAGGACTAAACATTATTGTATTTTATAAATGATCATAATTTCTAGCACTTGAGACCGAAAAGAATGCTAAATGCAGTTTTCATCCTCTTGATATCAATTGCTATCCTACGCATTGTGTCAAAATAATCCATTTCATATATTTGCATTTTTATGCAAGTAAAAGCACATAGGCGGTGTTTGCATTGTGATGATTAATTACACATTCACAAGGGATTGCAAGTTAATGAAGATGTTTTGAATGAAATCGATCCATTAAACAACAGCCATAAAACCTAATGAAATCCTGTGATAACATTTTACAACTGGATAGCCCCACATGAGCTATTCTGCACCTTTAAGTACAGTGTTATATTTGCTGCATTGCTAATGAAAAGGAATTAATCCTATTATTACATTGTAAGTCAGAGTTTGTCATTGGCTAACCTGACATCTATTTCACCACCATGAATATTCTGTGTATCACTTTCAAGGGTGAATTTGAACAGAGAAACCATTTAAAGCCATTTTGTAGTTTATTAATTGCGCCTTTTAGTGAGTTTCCAGTAAGAGAAAAAGAATGAATATGTATTAACAGTAAATGTAATACCCCTTAGGAACGTGGCCCTTAAATAAATAAGGCCCCCAGACCAAATAAATGCAAGATGAGCTTAGAACCGTAATACTACTCTGCTATACTTATAGTACGTTACCACATTTAATACTACTCTACTAGTCAGTGCAGAGTATTATATTAATGGAATGCCTCAGGAATAATGCAAGTGCTAGAGTTTTAAATGGCTCCATAAGAAAGCTGGATGGATTTGCTACCCAAATAAATATATACTTATGCTGACATTTTAATCTGTCTCAGATGTCTAAATAAACATATGCAGTGTTTGAGAGGATGTAAGCTGAAATTCATATTGTTCTGAATTATGCAAGGTGCTGCAGTTTCAATATTTTTTCTATTTACTTCAATGGACTTTAGGTCAGGCCCTAGAAGATAGAAATTCCATCCATTCATAATTCAGAACCTATACCTTTCCACCCTGTGCAAGACAGCACAACCCTTTGCCATGTGAGTATGCAGTTCAAGTAACTAGGTCAGTAGGCAAATAAATAAATAAAATACAAGGCTTTAAAAGGGATAACAAACATCCATGGCAAATAGTTTTGGCTCTTTACAAGCCCTCAAATTCCTCCATTGCTATGCTTGAAATTAACTCTGATATAAACACCCCCAAACTCCCTCTGCATGTTGCTCAGTCTCTCCTGTGCGCCTCCTGGCCTTGCATAATTGTCATATATTTTTAGCTATTCTCTCTGATCCATATTGTTGTTTCCACTCTTGAATAAGCAGACGTCCATCCAAGCGAAATCTAGATTTGTTTTCAACCCAGACACAGAGGTCTCCTGGGTGGAATGTGTGTGCAGCAAGCAAATGGTTAATTGCGAGCCTGGGGATCAAGATATTTGCAGGCCATTCTTAACATGAGTCATCTTCTCATCTGGTCCTCCAGCTCCTGCTCTCCCCCCTCCCTAACTTCCTTGAGGTCATTTCTACAAATCAGAGATTGCTCATCAATTGAAGCACAGCACAGCTCTCCATTTTCATCATATCTACCGTGATGTCCTGTCATAGTAAGCTTGTCCCACTACCCACTGGTTAAGTAAGCGATTTATTATTTTACTCTTCCACAACTCCCCTTTCCACACACACACACACACACACACACACACTCCCTCCCTCCCTCCCCGTAAAAAGAAACTGCCCCTCCACACATGGAAGATCTGACGCATTCAACTCCTGGAGCTAACAAGTAAAAGAGCTTATAAAAAAAAAACCCAAAACATAACCCCACCACTCAAACTGGCATGACGTTACTCAGCAGTAAAAGCAATTCCTTATAGAATTGCACAGGGACTGTGATTAGCTGACAAGAGTTCTGACTCATCCCTCTCATCAGGCTCCAATTAGCCACACTTTCCCCCTGTAGCTAGTGCCCCTCTTTTCACACCACGGCCATGATGGTAAACAGCAATGATGAGGGAAAAAGCCTTAAAAGCCCCTCCCTCATGGCCCTTGTGTCCTCACTCTAGTCTACAGTAAGGTTATTTTTAACATTTTGAAACACAGACTGAGGCATTAGGACAGTCTGCCTACCAAAGCCAGCAACAGCTTTCGGGAAAGTACCCCTCTAATGGTAAGGTGACTATTTCACACTCCAGATATGAGGGACTAGGCAGCAATGTCAACAATACAGAAAACAAAATTCACCTTTTTTCTGATCAGTAGTCAGAGAGTTTCTGCAATGATTCTTATTTCCCCCTGGCATTTCTGAAGACAGCATCTCCCAGAACCACAGTGATTTCCAAGGGCCTGTCCCACACTGAGTCACAGCCTGGCTTGTTCCAAATCACACCATTTCCTAAATGCTGCTACATATTTTAGGTTTCTGCATGGTCTTGAGCTTACAGTGTTTACCATAAGTGACAATGAAAAGGGTGATGGTCAAAAGGGAAGAGAATTTGTAGTTTTACTAGTTAAGGTAAATTATTTCTACCCCAAGTTGGAGATATTTTGCAATAAAACCCCAGCAAAAACAATTGAGAGAGTCAAGGGGAAAAGATGGCCTTATGGTTAAAAAACAAACAAAACACAGGACAGGTTGCCACAAACTTCCCGAGTCACTTAACGTTTACTTTACAGAGGTGTTGAAAAGCCCAAATTGGCATTTGGAAAACGTGTGGAGCTCAGAGGAAAGCGGGTATAATATTATGAAGCAAAATACAGGACTATGTAGCACTTTAAAGACTAACAAGATGGTTTATTAGGTGATGAGCTTTCGTGGGCCAGACCCACTTCCTCAGATCAAGTAGTGGAAGAAAATAGTCACAACCATATATACCAAAGGATACAATTAAAAAAAATGAACACATATGAAAAGGACAAATCACATTTCAGAACAGGAGGAGGATGGGGGGGGGGGGGGGGGAGGAAGGAAGGTAAGTGTCTGTGAATTAATTATATTAGAGGTGGGGAGAGTTAGATATTATATTTAGTGGGAATATAATATTATATATTCCCACTACAGGTGCTGAAAGCACAAGAGCCTTCAGCATTGTATCATGAATATTTACCTGCATCTCATGCAACTACACTCCTCTGTCGTATTGTTCTTTATACAGGAGGCATTAATTGCAGCATGTGAGAAGACCTGATCAAAGTCACTAAAAGATTACGCTTCATGCTTATCCAGGGACATATTCTCTAGTCCCACAGGATTTGCAACTTCTCTTGCAAATGCCCTCCTTTCCCAGCATTGCTGCAGTCATTTTATTCATTGGGAAGGGATGGAAGACGCAAGTTTCCACTTCACATTTTGAAAATCTCTTCAGGAATAAAGTCTTTGGTGGGGTTTTTTTCCTGTCATGGAGAACTGCCGCTCAAAGAGCTGCAAAGCCCACCAAGGCAAAGTGTTACTGAAAAGGCATGGGACAGGGCTTGTTTCTTTACATTTATTTTTCTTCAACCCTCTCCTGGCTTTACCAAGAACCTTGAGAAGAGCATAGACAGACAGGAAAAAAGGGAAGGAAAAAGAGAGGGCACAAGGACAAGAGTTACAAGGAGAAATGAAGGAGAAGGGTGAACTGGGCGGACAAAAGAAAGGGCCCATTGCTCATTTTTATGGTTTTATGACCCATGCATTTCACAAAAGGAAAGTAAAAACAGCAAGGACAATGCTATAAATAGTGCTCGGGAGTACTTTATTGGTGACATCAGCCATTGGATATTGACGCTGGGGGATTACTGTGGGCCCCAGACTGAGAACCCAGAGATGTCTTTAGAGCAGCGATCTTTGCCAATTACTTAGGTGTTCTCTGCTCTGCTGAACACCAGAACAGATCGCTTGGCTTGTCAGTTACATGCAGGAGTTAGGAAACGTTTGACCGAGACCGATGAAGGGGAGAGGGAGAGAATTTCCACCATTTTAGAGGTTCAGACACTCGGCGGCCCTACCCAGCGAAATAATCCACGATTCCCTTTTGGGAACTGCACACACACTGTACAGGTAACAGTACCATTTGGACTGGAAAGCGCGTTTACCTGTCTCACTCCTTAACCCCGGGGAGGGCTCAAATTCATACCCATGATGAATATCACCTGTGGACCCCCCCCCCCCCCACACACACACACACAGTGTTCAGCTTCTGCTCTTCTTCCCTAAAGGTGGATTCAGCCCCCCGTAACATCAGCCCCTTGGCTCATGAACAAACTTCAGCGTCATCTCCCGACGGCTCATACACCTGTGTAAAACGTAGGTCCTTTCCCTGGCCTAACCGAGGCGGGGGGGGGGGGGGGGTTGCTCTTTCCCATTTGTGTCTGGGGGTCGCCGTTGTTACCTGGCTTCTCCGGATGGAGCCTTTTGTCTTGTTTTGTCGATGGAGAAGTAACTGAGCTGGGTCGCTCCCTCCCCACATCGGTCCCCAAATTACACTCCTCTTGACACTGCCCTTCTAAGTCCCCCCCTTCTCTCTCTCTCTCTCTCTCTCTCTCTCTCACACACACACACACACACACACCAGTTTCCCCCCCCACCCTCCCATCGCCTCCGAGCGCCCTGACCTTTCAGGAAGCAGACCCTGGCCCCGGTCTCCGGCAGGCTGGACAGCAGCGCGTTGAGGACGATCTGCGCCGTGCTCTCCTTCTTCAGCTTCTGCCAGTGCCCGGTGCCTTGATCCAGGACGATCACCGCCGCCAGCCGCGTCGCTACAGGGCCTTCCCCCGGCAGCAGCAGCCGAGTCCGGGCCGCCTCGTCCGGCACCACGAAGTGCAGGGGCACCGGGCCGCCGCGGGCCCGGGCGG